ATGTTTCAAAGCCATCTTTTATTCAGTGGCTCTCAGTCTTTGAGAATCAACATCAGAAAAAAAGAATCCCATTTGTTTAATTCCTGTGAATCAGGAATGAACTGGTTTGTACTATAGTGAAAATACCTGGGTTATATTTTGAGTGATGGCTATGGACTTGGCACAGAGCTAACTGGTGGATGGGGCTGGTTGCCCTCTGCTCCCCATGCAGGGCTCAAACCTGTTGCAGAACTGGAGACTGCAGAGAGTAGGGAATTTCTATGGGGAGCACTTTGGTCCAGGCATCACTGCAGTGTGTATCTGTAAGGGCAGATGGACAATCACAGAGCAGTGGGGAGAAAGGAATTCATTGCATCAGGGCTGAGGCTGTGCATGTCACAGCCCCGTCCTGCTGAGCAGTCACTTGCAGCAGCACTCAGCCCTGGCCCTGGGGCAGGAGGGTCAGCCCAAGTGCTGCCCTGTTTGAGTTTGCAGGTGGGTGGCAGTGGCCTCTGGAGACACTGGTGGGATGAGTGAGTCTTTCTCATTGCTTCCCTCCCAGCTGCTGGGGAGGTGTGAGACATTTTTCAACCTTCTTGTTGCTGTCTCTGACCTAGTGCACTGCTGTCTGCTGCAGTTGTGTCCTGGGGGCTTAGAAAAACCCCTCTGGGTAACAGTACATGAATTGGTATTTTTGATTGCAACTGGGTGCCCATTTATTGACTCTTCAGCTGGGCAAAGTTATTTAGAAAGTTATGCAGCTGGAAGAATGCTGCAAGCCTGGCTTACAACTCTCCTCTCTTTCCCAGTAATAGACTTTGATTTGCTGTAGTTCATTTCCCTCTGAAGTCTGCTTTTTGTAGATAACATAAAGCACTTGGCATAGTGGTTGATAACTGAATGTATGAAGCATGACATTTTCCTAGATACAGTATGCCACATGAACACTTGTCTTTTGTATCAGAACCCATAAACAAGAGTTGATTGAGGGCAAATATCTTGCTCAGGTCCTGTGGAGAGGCAGGGAGTGAGTCAGTGCTGAGGGGAGGGTGATGTGGTCACAGCTGCTTTGAGGAGGGCATGTGGCAAGAGAAGGCAAAGCCCAAGGGCAAATAATCCCTGAGCCAGCTGGTAGCAGGTGAGGCGACTCATGATGTGGATTTAAAAAAAAGTATTTTGGAAACTTAATTTCCTCCTTGCTTGTTTTTCTGTCCAGCGATTAAAATACTGACATGTTTTTCTGTCTCTGGAGCATAGCAATCCACCTCTCCTCCCACCTCCCCCAGACCAGTGAAAACCTCAGAAATTGCCATTAAGGACTGGGACACTCCTGCTGGGTTTAGACCTTGGCAGCCCTGTGGGGGTAGATGACGGTGCCCATGCCGAGCCATCAAACAAAGCAGTTAACCTCTTGGTTTCTCCTTCACCACCCACAAAGAGAAGCTAAAAATAGTAGGCAGTCTTAGAGAGTTCTGGGAAAGAATAAAGTAAGAATAAAACACCGGGCTGGGTGGCTGGAAAGCAGCAGTCTGTGCTGTAAGATGGAGCATAATGTATACCAGTGAATATGCAGAACTGTGTAGTATATTTTAAAAGTAATGAAGCTTCACACCTTCAGCTTTGCTATTAAAGCATTGCTGAGAGCTAGATTCACACTGCTGTGCTGCTGAGAGTAAGGGTGTGTATGAGCTGAGGGAAAATGACTGCCCTTCTCCTTCACAGTTCTCAAGGTTTTACACCAGCTGCCTGGCTCCAGCCAACACAGGACTTATGCAGAAGGGTAAAGGAGAGAGAAAGTGGTCATGTCATGAAAGGCAGTTGGAAGAGTATGGGAAGTACACAGCTCTGGTGAGTTAAATTGAAGATACTTGGGATTGAATTTTTGAGCCTTCTTTCCTAAACTGTGTATGCAAGCTTCAGGCAGGCAAGTGTAGGCCAGAGACAGCTCAAAGAAATGCTGACTTGCTCATGAAAATGCAGATTTTACAGTTGTGTGTGTAAGAACTTTTGCATGGCAAGTAAGAAGCTGTGAACTGCTTCCCTTCATGCAGACTGAGCTTCTTTGGTTCAGACTCAGTTGTAAGGGAAAGTAATCCAGTTACTGATTTCGAATGAGGATCAGGCATCTGTTTGGATCAAGTTTTTTTGCATTCTGTTTCAGCCATACATTTATGAGCTATCCAGAAGCGCGGGAACTGAAAGTGAAGAAAATATTTGTGGGATTCCACAGAGACAGAAGCAGCCACTGCTTTGCACGTGTGAATTTTGACAGAGCATTTTGGTGGCTTAGAATGAAAGCCCTAGTGCTTGCTCATAATGAAAGCTGAACCTAAAAGTGGTCATATCCAAATTCCCAATGCCCAACAAACTGGAGTGTGAGGGCTTAAGGCAGAAGAGAGAGGCTACACCAGGTAAAGATGCTGTATATTTATTTTAGTGCTTAGAGTTGATTAGAGTTGGGTGAAAATGATTAGCTGAAAGGATTCTGAGTAAACCAATTTAAAATGTAATTATGAAGGGCTCAAGATAGTGTGTGTGTGAGTGTGTGTGTGTAATTATGTTTCTTGCCCATGTGCACTGCACTCAGTGATTTTGTTCTGCAGTGAGTAGAAGGGGGAGGAAGGGATGTGCAGGGATAGCTGCACGGGGAGCAGCTGTTTTTGAAAGGCAGCTTGTGCTGTGTTTCTCCTGTAATCTGGAGGTGCACTTTTAGCTGTGCTCAAAGTAGCACTGAGCTGGGTATCAAACCCAGCGTAGCCATAGCAATGTGTAGCTGTGTTTCAGCTGCTCAGAACTGGGAGCAAATCTGGGCAGGTGATTGCAGTGAGCTCCTTGCTACTCTCTTGGGATTCTCTTAGCCTGTGCCAAAGTGAGCTTCTACAAATCAGCTCAGGGCTGCCATGCAAGCTGTGGCATATCTTGGGATGAGACCACTGACATCACACTGGCTTGTGGCATTTCAGGGTTGCTCATATCACCCCTGTGACCAGCAGCAGAGAATAAGCCCTTTCTGGTCAGCAAGTTCTTGCTAACTAGCTCACGTCCATGCTGTTGGGGGTGAAGTCAGTCTGGACAGGCTTGCTGCATCCACACAGTTTGCTCTGGAGTGAGCTGAGTCTGTGCAGAGTGGGTGTAGGAGTGAGGGCACTTGTCCTCCTTGGCTGTGGCTGTCTCTCCTTTCATATGCTGGCCCAGGGCTGGAGCCTGGGGTGAGCAGACCAGCACAGTGCTGACAGTGCACCCATCCATGAGCCATGCAGGACAAGCCACACGTGTGGTCTGGAGGCACTTTTTGAGGCTGTTACATCTGGGCTTTCCTCCAGATGTTTTTCTTCTGTACTCTCACATTACTGAAGGCACAAAAGGTCAGGAAATGTTCCTAGAATCCTTCTTACATTAAACAGGGAATGCAGTGAGGAAGAGGAAGGAGAGAAGAAATTGTTGGACAAAGGTGGGCTATGACAAGGGGGCAAAGTCAGGAAGGCTTAAAGGCATTTTATCATCAGTGGCAAAGGGTGATTTTTTGTGGGACTTGATACCCATTGAATGTGTGTCTGAGTTAGGTAGTGAGCTGTGCACAGAGGCACATTTAGGACAGAAAGTGAAAGGACATGCTCTGGCTGACTCACACATTCATCCACAGCGTGAGAGCGATCCCTTTTGTAAGACATAGCCCCAGTTGGGCAGCAGCTGTGCTGCACATGACTCTTGCCTTCATCTGACATGGGAACAGAGGGCAGGAAGAGACTCCTGGGACAGCATACTCAATAGCTCTTATTTTATCCCCTAATTCCTGATCAAGCATAGCATTAAAAAATAAAAAAAAGCAGTGTTATGCCCATGTTGTTTCATCTTTTCCTTATGCTCTCTGTATATTTGCTTTTTTTTCTCTTACTGCCTTAATTGGATTTTTGGCTGCTTAGGGCAGCCATGGTCTTGTGCTCTCATCATTTGCTGTGGTGGGCCAGTATCACACAGACTATCACATCAGCACTTCAGACACATCCTCTGGCATTTTTGGACATGGGATGCAAGATAGAGATGTTCCATTGGGATAGGCACATTTTCACAGCAGGAAACCTATGTTTCTGGTTTGTCCTTCGCTCAGTAGGTGCTGGTGTGTGTCAACTAATCCTTTTCCTACTTAATCATTCAGTCAGCACCAATGTGTTCCTCTGAGTAATGGCCTAAAGACCAGAGCTTCTAGCCAAACCTTGCATTTTGCTAAAACCACAAATCAAACTTGAAAAATAGGTGCAATAAGAAATAAAGCTTCCCAATAAAGAAAATGAATATTTCAGCTGCTGTCATCTTAACTCTTAATACCTTCTTGCAGGAAAGAACTGTTTTTGGAAGATGGCAAGGGAAATGAAAAGGGGTAGCAGTGCCTACAGCTGATAACACTGACCTGTTTTCTTGGCACTCCTCCAAATGCAAGGCCAGCTCTCTTTGAAATATAGGTGATTCATCAGCTGAATTGCAAGCAAATAGTGCGGTGCAGAAGCACAGTCATATTATTTCAATAACCCGAGTTTTAGCTATTCCACTTTAAAAACTAATGAAGCAAATAATGTTGTGACACAGATGTAGGCAGTGAAAATGTGTCAGAGAAAGGCAATTAACCTCTGTACTAATAAAGTCTGTCAAATTAGTAAAATATTTTTTACATATTATAATAGCTAATCAGAAATATATAGGCCATGAATATTCAGTGCCCCAAGCCTGTGGAATCTTTTATACCTTTGAAATCTAGATCATCAGGGAAAAGCAGGAGGTGTTGTTCTTTTTTTGTGGGTTTTTTTGTGGTTTTTTTTTTTTTTTTTTGTTTGTTTGTTTTGTTTTTGTTTTTGTTTTTGTTTTTGTTTTTTTTTTTGTTTTAACAGAGGCGTAAACAGCTAAAAAGTCACAGGGTGTCTTTTGCTGGGGTGGGTTGTGGATTTCTCGGTTGTGGATTTCTCAGGTCCTGTTGGTGTTTTGTCCACTCCCTGAAACCAAGGTTGGGCTTTTATTTCCACATACAGGCATCCCTTAATCACTTACTGGCTGTATTATCAATGCTCTGCTGGATATTCATGGGGTATTCTGAGCTGAGACATGCTTGATTAAAAACCAAAGCAAAACAGATTCTGTTATCCAGCTACCTAGCTGGAGAAGTGGGACTATCTGAGAGGTATTCCTGGAGCAGAAGGTTCTCTCCATTCTATGTCCTCTCTCAGTCACGATTCTCCCACTGAGAGATAGCAGGAAGATTATGTTGAATGTGAATCAAGGCTAGGTAAGTTACGTCCAGGTTTGAAATTCTTTGCTAAGGTGTGTAAAAGTTATTGTGGACAAAGCTGACTACTCCTATAGGAGAAGCAGCAATATTTTTGAAACTGAGTGAACTTCCTAATGCATTAATTGTAAGCATCGTGGTGCTATAACCATCATTAGCTGCTTCATGTTGAATTTTGATTGACTTAGTCTATTGGTGAACATCACATCTGGAGTTCTGTTGTGCTATAATATCACCAAACATGTTGGACACTTCAACATTGACAGTAAAATACAGTGAAAAACAGCTTGATCTGGTGTATATTTTTTAGGATAGTAAAAGATTCATCCTGTTTGTAAATATTCAGACCAATGCATTAAGGCATTATAAGGTTAAACCTCTTTATTACTATGCCAACAGTCACCTGCTATATTTTCTGTTAAAGTTAAATGTTTACAGTGTTGCCTCATATTCACAGGCCTACTCAGTCATAGCTTGTGCTGGTATGTGTGTGATAAAACCCAAAATTTTATCAAAGCCTTTTGTACCTTAACTGTGTCCTGCCTCTATACCTACAGAAGTGTTACTGTTAAAGATGTTAAATTGTATTCAAATATTAATAATTAACAACAAACACCTCGTATAAGTTATTGCTATTGAAGGGCATGTGCTGCTGATTATGGCCTCTGTCCTTCTGCTCCTCCACAGGTACCCTCTTACCTTTCCTGGCACAAAGGATCTTGGGTGTGTCTTCTGTGGTTCTCACCATGGCCAAGGCTTGTTGGATGGTGCTGATCAGGTGTGGACCTGAATGATGGCCTTTCCTGTGGACAAACAGCTTGTAACTGTTTCCCTTTGCATTACATAAGTCTTTCTGGATTCCAGCTGAGCCAGTTTGTGTGACTTTGACTAATCAAGCAAATGATCTGTTCATCCTCATGACCTCCTACCAGGGTGCATGTCACGTCTTGCATTGTATATGGGACCGCTGGTAGCACCATGTCTCAGTCACAGTGCCTGGTGCAGGCAGCTTTTGTAACTGAGCAGGTTCTTGTTAAGTTGCATTCACAGAGCCATAGAGTCAAAGAATGGCTTTAAGGGACCATAAAGATCATCAAGTTCCATCCCCCTGCCATCATCAGGGACAACTTTGGATAGATCAGATTGCTCAGAGCACCCTCTAACCTGGCCTTGCACACTTCCAGGGGTAGAGCATCTATAACTTCCAGACAATCTGCTCCAGTTCCTCACTACCCTCATTGTAAAGAATTTTTTCCTAATATCGCATCTAAAACTATTCTCTTTATGTTTGAAGCCATTCCCCCTTGTCCTGTCACTACATACCTCCCTAAATAGCCACTCTCCATCTTCCTTGTAGGCTCCTTTTGGGTATTGGAAGGCCACAATTAGGTCATCCTGAAGCTTTCCCTTCTCCAGACTGAACAATCCCAATAATTTCAGTCTTTCCTCATAGGAGAGGTGCTCCATCCCTCTGAGCAGCTTGGTGGCCTCCTCTGGACTTGCTGCAACAGATCTTTCTCTTTCCTGTGCTGAGGACCCCAGAGCTGGATGCAGCTCTGCAGGTGGGGTCTCACTGGAGCAGAGTAGAGGGTCAGAATCCTCTCCCTCACCTGCTGCCCACTCTGCTTTGGATGCAGCCCAGGGCACATTTGGCTTTCTGGGCTGCAAGGGCACATGGCTGGGTCAAGTCCATCCATCAGCTCTCATCCATGAGCACCCCCAAGCCCTTCTCAGCAGGGCTCCTCTACATCTGTTCATCACCCAGCCTAGATTGTTACTGAGGCTTGACCCAACCCACGTGATCTTATTAAACCTCTTATTTTTAAATCTTATTATTAAAATAAGATTCCCATAGGTCCACTTCTTGAGCTTGTCCAGGTTGCTCTGGATGGCATCCCATCCCTCAGGTGTGTCACTGCACCACTCGGCTTGGTGTCATCTGCAAATTTGCTGAGTGTGTACACATTCTCTTTGTTTGTGTCATTAATGCAGAAATTAAAAACACCAGTCCCATATGGACCCCTGAGGACCACTGGTCACTGATGTCCATCACGACTCTGAGCTGTTGACCCCAATCCTCTGAATGTGAGTGTCCAACCACTTTCTTATCCATCTAACATTTACTGAATAAATTTCTTTCTACCCAGAGAATCCACAGCTCTCCAATATAGAGAGAAGGATGCTGGGGGGTTTTACAGATGTCAAGCTAAATGACATCTGTAGCTCCTCCCTTGTTCACTGATGCAGTCACTCCATAATAGGAGGTCAGGCAGGGCTTCCCCCTGGTGAAGCTGCTCTGGCTGTCTTGAATTCCCTCCCTGGTCTTCATGTGCATAACTTCTTGAGTCTGTGTTCCATGATCTTCCCAAACACAGATGTGAGGCTGACAGGCCGGTATTTTCCAGGGTCCCAGGTATTCAAAGGCTTAAACTGCAAAAAGTGAAGTTTGACTGAACTTCATAAAAAGAAATGGCAGAAATCATGTTATTTTAATCCGAGTGATTTGTTGCCTTTGGATTTGTTCTAATTAAACATCATGTCAAATTAACTCAAAGAGTCTTTCTTTTTTTACCAGGTCCTAAAGTAATGAATAGTTTAATAAGTTTTGAATTCTTTTAAATAGCTATTTATTGCCTGGAAAAACAGCTTTTTGTACTTTTTAAATTACACAGTAAAAATTATATTAAAAGTTTTTTTTTTTACTTCTTATGTGTATTTTAAGAAGCTTTGAAAGGATTAATTAAGCATGCAAACTACCTGCTGAGGTAAATGTAAATGTTACTATCTCCACTTTTCTGATGGGGAATCTGAAGCACAATGCTGTATAAAGCCTGAATCTACCATGTCTCCATTTCAGAAAATAACAAGGAGGATCAGCACCTGCCAGGGAGCAATTAATAGATTAACACAATCAGGTGAGAGTGGCTTTCCCAAGGTCAGACTATAATGTCATGGGCAGACAGTTGCAGGCATTTGAGTTAATGAGTTACTGATGGTGAACTGGACTGTGAAAACTCACAGGATACGTGCTCCTGCTCACAAGTGATGTACATGACAGTACAGATTGCCCTGAAACAGTGTTTGTGGGGCATTAAGATAACTTTGCCATGGCTCAATCTGATTATCTAAGCTACTACAGCATTTAGATATCTGATGGTCCTGTGTCCCTATGTCAAAGTCCTCCCCTGCCCCTGCTGTAGATATTCTAAGATCTCCTCTGCCAATCCAGTCATGGGAAAAGGAGCTAAACGAGCCAGTTTGGCTCTGGTTGTTGTCAGAAGTATCCATGGACTTTGATGATTTCTGCACCTGAAATCTGAAACATTTTCTTATTCTCAAGGAAGTTCTTCACTTAAAAAACTCCTCCATCAAATGCAGCCTTCCTGTTGGTTTAGTAGTTTTTACTAAAAATGGCAGAATCTACCATTCATCTGTATTTAATGATAAGAACCATCATTCATCTGTGTGCTGAGAACAGCCCTTCATCTTGCAATCTTGCTGCTTTCTCTTCATCTGTATCCCAGTCCTCATCAACAGTTTCCCATAGGAATTGTTATATTAAAAATGTAATGACAGAAATGCTGTTTTGTGCAGGACTGTTCAGGAAAATGATGAATGCTGTGCAGATGTATGTATTGAAACCTCTGTATCTCTAGGAAATATACTGCTGTGTTCTCATAGGTTTCTCTCTAAAGCTGTAATTAACAACAGCAGAATGCTTGAAAGGGTTAAAGGAAAATAGATTTGAGGAAATACTCAAAGCCATGTGTAGATGCTGCACATTTAGTGTTGCAGTTACATGTGTGCTTGCAAAAAGCGCAATGGGAAGTGTGTCAATTGCCTCTCTTTGCAGATAGATGTAAGTCTGTGTAAGCAAGATGCTGGTTACTACATAATTAGACCACGAGTTTCTGTCCTAATGCCCCAGTTTTTATTTGTAACCCTGCAGTGATCTGGCACGTGGCAAAGGACAAAGCATTCAGCTTCTCCAGGTCAGTGCCATCAGCAAATCAGGGTGGTCACACCTCTGGTGCCAAGTACAAAGCTCAGTGTTAGTCACAATGTTATCTTTCTCTCTGTTTGGATATCTGCTGTGTCCAGTTTGAGATCTCAGAGCTTATCTACAAGATGTGTTGCATGAACACCTGATAGATTGTCTGAGGCTCTATAACAAATATTTCCCTTTTTTCACTTCTGCTAAAATTTCTCAGGTTCTTACACAAGTCTGTGGAATAAATGTCAGTAAAATGTGTGACCTACCAGAAACTGGGTATTTGCTAAGATGCATTTCTTCAACTCTGCCTTCAGTACTAAAAGTACAGATAATAGCTAGCATCAATAACCATTTTATTAAAAAGTTTTATGTAATATATGAAAGTATAAACACATTATATAGCTTTTTTTGAAAAGTGAACAGAATATATTCATATTTATTTTCATCTATGAAAATTTCTCCATGGGAGGAGAAGAGAAAAAAAGAAAGATCAAGGTGTGACAGATGCACATCAGGGAAGTGGGTTGTCACACTGCAGGGAGGTGTTGATATATCACAATGATGGGCATGCTACATAGACCTGAGCAGAACAAAACACTCTCTTAGGAAAATTGAGCAGACGTAGAAATCATTAACTGACTTGGTGAGAAATGGTCCTGAGTTGAACTGCAATTTTTAAATAATATGCAATATGGAGAAGTCTCTGTGAAACAGGTGTTAGAGTTTCAAGTTGAACTTTTTACATTTGTCCCTAAAGGCAGATCTGTTAAGTTTTTCCTTTGTAAGGGTATAGGCTTGAGGGGAATCACCTGTACCACAGCAGTGTCCTTTGCTTTTAGAAATGAAGTTGCAATCTGCTGCCCGTGCTGCTCTGAACTGACCTTTGAGTCTGCTCTTGCAATCCAGTATCTGCTTTCTGAGCCTAAGCTGAAAGTCACAGGCTTTGCAGCAGTCTCCCCAGAGAGCTTTGAGGCAGTTCATCAAAGCAGGTGGAAGGAAGAGTATGTTGTAATAGATCTTTCATTCTTGCATATGAGTAACGAGGAGGAACAAAACATGCTGTCTGTGGACATAATTTTTCTTTAGAAACCAATCATACCAGGACTATAAATACAAGCAATGTATTACAGGTGCTACATACAGCTTTAAATATCCTTCTTTGGTGCCAGAGTGTGTGTTTTGGTGTGATTTTGTTGTGGATGGAGAGAAATTCTTTTGTTTTTGTGACAGCTCGAATACTGTGTTAAACAAATTACTTTCAGGACATTTCAAATGTTTTTATTGTTTGAGCAGCTCAATTCAAACAGTTAGTTTGTGTTCAATTTCCTAGGTAAGTTAATAACCTTTTTAGAGTACTTAATGATTGCAGTTTAACCGGTGTCTCAGAATTTATGCTTCTGTTTTGTTTGCTCAGCATTAGCATTGCTCATTCACTAATCAAGCACTTGCTTCCTAAGTGGCCCCTTCCTCTTCTCAGCACCTGCACTCCATTCCCCCTTGAAGCTTCACTTTCCTGGTAGCTTTTGTGTGATCTGAAGGATATGTACCTCTGCCTTGGATAAACTATTCCTTGCTGGGCTTATTCCAGCAGCATTCTAGAACTTACAGGCACCGTTCAGAAATGAGTATGAAGTCGAAGCTAGCAGCTCTGCTGCCCAGGAGATTGAGTTGCTGTCATATTGCATCTGACTTGCATCAGATCAGAGTTTAGGATTTGGGTGATTTGTTCTTCAGATTAATGTCAATCTGTTTTAAATTAAAACACCCTGGGGCAAATCCTTTGCTGTGATCAATGAACTGTCTGGCTGCAGTCAACCAACATTACAACAGACATGAATTTGGCCTCCTGGTTTGTTGCCTCATCCCCTACATCACTTTCCTTATGTGGTTCAGACATCAAGCCTTTGATCCTATAAGTTGTTGACCATCTTCCACCAAAATCAGTGAGAACGGAGAGTACTTCAATGTTCAACACCTTGTTGGTTTGGGCACAAGAAATGGACTACATATCTGCTCTACCTAAAATATAGTTATGGTATATCTATGAGTGGGCAATCTGCTTTGCACCTGTTTTCCTACAGGAACAAAAGGCACAGGAAGTGTTTGGAAAATGAGGAACACACCTGTGTGTGAGAGAATAACAAAGCATCTTTATATATAATCATTTGCTATAAGTCATTTCAGAGTTGACAAGCTGTTTTTCAACTTCGTGTCACCACTGCCTGATGCATCTAATTAGTCCTGTTCTCCAGCTGACAAATATCAGCTGCTCTTTCTAAAACATGGTTTCTCCCTTAAGTACATCCCTCTGGCAAAGTTAAATATTAATTATCCTTTTTTTATTTTATGATTATTCATGTGTGCTAATGTCACTACACAATGAATGGGTAAGTCAATACCACAAAATATTAAAAGCATTGTTTCTAAACCTCTGCAGCAGCCAAGATGTACAGAGCCATTTTGGCAATGAATGAGGCTATGGTGGCTGGGCTGTGCCAGTGGTGAGACTCAAAGACCTGTGGTTGTGGGATGTGGGCCTGGATGTGGGAAATGTACCTTCTCAGCTCAGATGCTGGCCTGTTTTACAGCTGCACAAATCACAAGACTTTTTTCTCTGCATACTGAAATTGCAGGGCACAGAACAGCATGGGTACTCAGGCACCCGGGTACCTCTGCAGGTCTGAGCTGTGTGGACCTGTACTCCTGCTGAGTATTTGGGTGGTGCTAGTCTGCTGGAGTCTCTTGCCTTCCTTTGTGTGTTGTCCATCTTTGTGTGCTTGCCTTCAGCAAGATCCATATTCATGCCTTGTGAAACAGTCTCAAAAGCGGACACTGAGAAGGAAGAGCTGCTGTAATCATGTTTCCTGAGACCAGTCGTATCTGCTGCACCCAGCCTATGACACCCTTAGTTGTTCCTGCAAAAACGAGGTTTCCCATCTTAGCCACTTGGTTGCCACACGGATATGAAGGCTAGTGCATGCTTTTTTGTTCTGAGGAGATTTTGTATTTGTTCTGTCCAGACAGATTTGCAGCTGCCCCCATGCAAGGGCTGATGTAGCTGTGCAAGCCCTAATCCTTCGTGCCTTTCAAA